GCGGGTCTGTGGCTGTGCTGAGATTCAAACAGCAGAATGCCCAGGAGCACAAGGACCAGGACAGACAGCCCCAACCTGATGAGATTCTCCATTGTGTGATCCTGGGGCTGTGAGACTGGGGGGGGGGTTGTAGAAAAAGAAATCACAGAGATCAGGGCAGATGGAAATCACCCCAGGACGCTGCTTCCCCTGGACAGGACTCAAACTTCTGGATTGAGTCCTGTGGCTGAGAATTCGTACTCACCTGCCTTGGAGTCTGATACATTTGGTGGTCGCTCAAGGGGCTGAACTGCTCCTAGGAATCAAAGAAAAAAAAAAAGAAGGCTATGGCAGGGTGGAGGGTTAGAGAGGTGGCTCCGTGGTTAAGAGCACTGGCTTACCAGGTAGCAGTGGTGGTGGTGCAGGATTTTAATCCCAGCACTCGGGAGGCAGAGGCTGGTGAATCTTTGTGAGTTTGAGGCCAGCCTGGTCTACAAAGCAACTTCCAGGAACTCAGAGAAACCTGAGTTTTACACAGAGAAACCCTGTCCGAGAAAAAAAAAAAAAAAGCAAAAAAGCTCTGGTTGCTCTTCCAGACAACGCAAATGCAATTCCCAGCACCCACATGGCAGCTCACACCTATCTGCAACTCCAGTTCCAGAGCTTCTGCCTTAGGCAGGCAAAACACCAATGAACATAAAATAAAAATAAGCATTTTTTAAAGTAGGATTGTGAAATACTTGAGACCCAAGTTTTTTCTAGGTCCTCTGTTTTCATTTTCTTCCTTTCTACCTCCCTGGCACCATTATCTTAAAAGAAGGTGGTGGTGGTGCACACCTTTAATCCCAGCACTTGAGAGGCTGAGGCAGGTGGATCTCTGAGTTGAAGGCGAGCCTGGTCTACAGAGTGAGTTCCAGGCCAGGTTAACCCCCCCCCCCCCTCTCTCTCTCTCTCTCTCCCCTCTCTCTCTCTCTCTCTCTCTCTCTCTCTCTCTCTCTCTCTCTCTGCAGAATACAAAAACCATCACAGAAATCTACAAAACCTACTGGTCAAAATACAGAGAACAGCTAATCATGAGGTATACACCCCTAACTGACATAGTTGCAATATAAGGAATATCTCAGAAGAGGAGGCAGAAAGACTAGAGAGGGCAGGAAGATGATAAGGACTACAGGACTAGGGCACTAAGACATTTGCTGTGAGACGGTGTCTTCGATCTATGGCAAGGAGTTGCACCATGAATTAAAAAAAAAAAAAATGTATGGTTGATGGTTGTCTAAACAAGACTTTCATGATAAAAACCAGTTGGCACACCAATGTGGTTGGATGAAATCTCACAAGATCTCACACTTAGATGAGGAAGCTACAGGCAACTGATGGCTGCTGTGAGATCAAGATTCCATCTTTTCCAGGGAAGAGACCCTGGTAGGTGATCCAATCCCAAGTGGT